AAATAACACGAATAAATTGAACAAAAATCGAACAGCAAGAAAACAGTTTTGATACATAATACAATTATACATAAAAGAAACATTTAAATGTATTTCCATTTAAAAATGAATTTTCCATTAATAAATAGAGTTATTTAGATGCTTTAAATAAATGATCCAACCAAAGCCGTGGCTAGCCCAATAATGCCCCTTACGAGGTCAGAGGGAGAACAAATTTAGGAGCCCTTTTTTAATATTTAGAGGTCTTTCTTCCAAATTTAAGATTTTTAATTTTAGTTTTAAGCATGCGAGTTTTTGGAGTACTTTTATTTCGCTTCGCTCAAAACAAGTAACAGCTATATTTTCCTTTTAGAATCTACTCAAACAAAGAACCTCTTATTTCAAGCAGTTTTAAGAACATGACAGACAAAGAAAAGCAATAATATAACATAGATGAGTTGTTGACTTAATGAAAATCCCGGAAATTTTTTTTCTAAGAAAATTCCGAAAATTTATATGGTCAACTAGTTGACGAAGGTATGTGGATATACTCTGGAATGATGGTAAAGGGATAGATAAATTAACTAAAAACTACTAAATAATTATTTTTCTTTAAAATTCTCTAAAATCAAATACAATGTCTCAGTTTTACCGTAAACAGTCTGCAAAGAGTAATAATTTATTTACTTTTTAAATATAAAATATGAGAAAATGGTTTAGAAATTAATACTTTTAGTAATAGTAGTAATAGTTTCGAGTAAATAGTAATAGTAATAGTTTGAGGGAATTCCCGGAAAATTTTCATCTGTGAATATAACCAATAAATATATATTAAAACTCGATTATTTATAAAATATTTAAATAACTTTTTAGCAATGAAAATATAAAATGAAAATATAAAATGCAAACTTATTTAATGATACGCCTCTGTAAATATTTATAATATAAACCTACCATACTATATTATATTAAAATCGCATATTTATAATCATAGACATATATAAAATCTTTTTAGTATTTTTTAGTACATACGCTGTCAGTTTTTTAAATTAAGTTGCAATACCAAGTGCAGGAGCTATTCACAGCAAATGCTCTTGGGTTATACAAAACTAGCCATGTACGAAAAGCCCTGACTCTCCTGATCATTTATAGACTTTGCCATCTTTTTAGCCCTATGGACATTATACATTATCATCTTCTGCAAATCCAATATGCAACAACATAACTGTATTCCTGCTTTACTATTATCTGTTTAATCAATCTGCGGATATAAAACAATTTCCACCGCTTGTATCTAAAAATAAAAAAAGGTTGAATAATTGAGTTTGAATCTAGTGTGATCCTGTTAAAATAAAAGTGTTAACGCAATAGTCAAAAAAAATTTAATGTCTAATTATGTCTATGTAATTTCAATATATGCATACAAATTTCTCTCAAGCTGTTATTTGTTTCTGAAAAATAATTAAAACAGGTGGCCACCTAATATATAAATTAACTTCTTTTATCATTAATTGAAAAAAAATAAAAAAAAAAAAAAAAAAAAGCAATATCATTTAATATCTTTACTTCTAACAACAAAATTATCACTGTTTTTATTTTTATTTTAACTTTTTTTTAACTGATAGATTAGGAATAAAATTGTCAAGGCTAGAAGCAACCACTATTGGAGATGGAAGTTACTAGAATAATCATGAAAAAGGTTATATAGTGCAAAATGACAGTTTACAGAAGATTATAAATGTTTTCCAGGTTCATATAATCAGGAAGATCATATTTTCCTGATTTATATAATTCATACAATCAGGAAAATTAAAAGTAAACACCAATCAAAAAACTGAAACATTTTTGAACTGAAAGATTTTTTTTGCACTTATGAACAGTCACATTCATTGAATGAAAAAAAATGATTTTTTGTAGTCACAAAAGATTCTAGCTCTTTAGACCAATGGAATAGTAATAATATCTGGTAAGATGTGCCAAAATGAGGTTTAAAAATATAGAAGTGGTTTAGGCATGTAGAGTGTTGTAACGCAGATAATTGGATATCAGAGTGTAGAAAGTTATCGGTGTCAATAAAAAAAAAGGTAGAAGTAGAAAAACTTGCAGAGAGTGTGTTGAAGATGAAAAGCTTGTAACATGCATAGCTTTATTTAAGGAGATAATGGATATTTGAATAAATGGCTTTATTTGAAACATCAAAACAACAAAGACATTGTTTTACATAAATTTTAGTTAATTTTGTTTTATTATCAAAATTTCATTTAATTTTTTTCAAAATGCAGGATAAAATTTTAAAATTGGTTCATCCGCCATCAATTGGAGAATCAAGAACTTAATTAAAAAAAGCTGATGCCAATACCAATGCCGATTGAGCAAAAAGTGTCCAATTTAGTCGATGCTGACTAATTGGTACATCACCAACGATCACGAAAGACAGATGCAACCTTAGCAGAAGCTAACTTTGCAATCAATTTTACATATGATTTCCAAGAATCCTTAGAAGTAAGAAATAATCCAAGAAGACACTAAGTAGATGATTCATTCATTCGTTCATAGATACATGTTATTGCATCTAGATTTAGCTTGAAATAGCTGAATGTTAAATTCAAAAATATCCAAGCACTGAAAGCTTCATGCTATAGCTGTGATGACATCATTTATAAGCTGTAATGCCCCTCCAAGAAATCAGAGAGTGTTGCGTTTTTATCAAGCTAAGAACAAATGGTGATAACACCAGCATAAATATCACCTTAGATGTAAGATTATAGAGAAGTTCATTAACGTAGATTAGAAACAATATAATAAAAAACCAAGAACATCAAGGAAGGACAATATTTATACTACAACTGCTAAGGAATGATTCAATAATTTAATATAGTTCTCCGCGTTACACAAATCACATCTACATAAGAAGAGACAACAATGGAAGACTTTATCGAAGACTTTAAAGTGTTAAGAGCAATAGCCCTAACGCGTCTATCTAATGCACAATAAAACATATTGGTAATTACTGTTAAAAAATCATCACTAGAATGAGATGATCAAAATCCTTATTAATGATCTGAAAGTAAGCTACTAAGTTGTTAATGAGAAATTAAGTGTTTTACGTATGAGAGAAATTTAGATGTTCAAGCAAAAGTTAAGATTTGATTTAAAAAATTAGGTTATAAATATGGTTTTTGTGTTTTATTACTTTTTTTTTATAGTTTATATTTACTTTTTATCAAGGTTTTAAAAATCGCAAATATATTTTTACCTAATTATAGGTACGTGTGTAAAAATTTTAAACCAATTGTTTATATAAGTATTATATATGGTACGAAAGAGTTTTGAATTTGTAACTCAATGGTGAATTTTATGAAAAAAGAATAATTAAAAAAAATGTTATGACCATTTAAGTAACATTATTTTTTATGAAGGATTGCTTAAGAAAAATGCAACCATCGTATAAAACTCGCGTTGGGCTAACGGTAGCTTAGTAATTAAACTTCATTGTTAATTTGCGCATAGTTTTGCTTTAGTGAAATGTGCAAAACGATTTAATTTTATTAAAAAAATTTCGAAAATAATAAAATGTTTTTAATCCTTAAAACCTAACAATAAAATTTATAAAAAGTTCCATATATGTATAAAAAAAAAAAAAATATCGCGTATTTACAATATTATATATATATATATATATATATATATATATATATATATATATATATATATATATATATATATATATATATATATATATATATAAAATATATATATATTTGTTATTAAATATGTATCAAGTCTAATTTTTCTATAGCGTATAATTGAACTTTAAAGACATTCATAGCCTTTCCGATCATTATTTAGCCTTATTTTTATCGTTACTAATGAATTTCAATTACTTTGGACAAAAGTTTAGATTTAATAAAAGTTAATGGAAATTTATTATGTCATTATATAAAGATATATATAAATATATATCATAGGCAAAAGCGTGACATTTTAGTAGGGTCCAAAGCACAAAAAAAAAAAAAAAAAAAAAAAAATCATAATATACATAATAATAGTTGAAATATTTTTCAACTAAAAACATTCTTAAAAAAGGATACTACTAAATAATTAGGGGGGAAGGGAGGTCATGCCTACCACGGCTCTCCTTTTTGTTTCATTCCTTGGGCCCATATACATATCTATCTATCTAACAATATATAAATTTCAACAAACTGCAAAAAATACAAATATTTTTTTTTAAACATTTAGTTTATTTTTATTTTTTTGTCGTTTTACACATTTTACAATGTTATCTTTAAATTCGAATAAATATATATATAATTACAAGCTGACAGGGGCAAGTAGAAGACATAAAGTCTTATCATCAAGCCCTTTTGTGAAATAGAGAAATATAAAAACATACTTCTTTAACAATAAATTTACACTATAATAGTTATTTTATTTGCTTAGTAATGTTTTTAACAGAATTGTGGCTTGAAAAAAGCCTAGTTTTTGAAGTAAATAAAACTGTGACAACCATAGAAAGAGTTGAATCTTTAGTACGCGACGGAAACCACATATAACGATATCTAAAATAAAATAAACCTCTCAATTAATACAGCCATACCTATTTAATTAGGATACCCTGTGTCCCGGATAATAAATAAATATATAACTGTTATCACAGAAAAATAAAAATACATTAGATATTTAGCACAATAACTGAAAAACACATTAACAAACATAATCAATGTCTAAATAAATATGACCTAACCGATTTAATATTGAAATGAAGAAGATCAACAAACATCAAAGCAAGCGTGCAGTACTCATCACGTTGTGTAACCTTGCAATTATAGATAAGATAAAATATATTTAAGATATATAAAATTAAAAAAAAAATTAAAAATATCGAGACTTGCAAGCAATTACTGTATAATAAATTAACATTTAACTGTTAATTACTGCAAAATAAATTAATATCTAACTATAATAACATCTTACTGAATTATAAAATACAATTTTGAGGACTTTAAGACAGTAGCAAATTGCAATCTTTTAGCATGCTATTAGTTAAAATCTTGAAATAACAGATAAATAAAAATACATTAGATATTTAACACAATAACTGAAAAACCCATTACAAAATAGAGAAGAGGAGAATGATTTCCTATATAAAAAACAAAAAACAAAATCACCTAACTCTTGATACACAACACATTTTAATATTACAAAACAGAAAAAATATTAAAAGTTGATCCTTCAATACTGTACAAAAAAGAAAAAGATACCTGTTTCAGATGTAAAGTCTTGAAACAAACCATTTTGCAGACATTCACATAATGTCAAGCCAGAACACAAAAATATCTTCAATATGGAATAATTATAGATCAAAGTACCACATGTGTGAAAAAGCATATGTATTCTGTTCCCTCTATAGCGTGGTAGCAATGTTCTGGGCAACTCGTGTTGGTCCAAAAAGAACCCAAAACCCTTTGGATCACTTTTGAATAACATAAAGAAAGTTAGTTGGCTATTGCAAGGAGAATGTGAAATAAAAACATGTAATAATTATAATATTTATTTTAGTTTAACTCAATTAAAAACAATTTTATTCACAAACCTACACTATATTAAAGTAAAAGAATTATAAATACCTTTTGCATCCTTGTAGCGAAGTTTGTATTGCAGAATTGTGTAGAAAATGAATTGTGTAGTGAATGAAACCAGGAACTTAACACACAAGCATATCGTATATAAGTGTTCTAATATCTGCTGAGTAGTGTTTTTGAGTTTTGGTGTTTTGTGTTACTTGCTGAATTTCCTCCAACTCTTCCTGTAAAATCAGTATCAATGTCATTTTGCAGTACAAGAATTGCATAATTTTTGTCAGCAAGTTGTTGGTATAAAATTGCCTTTTGATAAGAAAACTTAGTTTCGATTAATGTTAACTGCTGTTTCAAACAAAAAAATTAAATCTCTTTCTCATAACCTTTTTCTGGGACTTAACTAGTCAGTTTTTCTGGGACTTAACTAGTCTGGGACTTAATCAGTCAACTAACTAATTTAAAAAATAACTATTAACCTACAAAAAAATGTGTAGATTCATTTATTATTATTCGCATAGATAAAACATGTATATAATTTTTATGTATCATAGAGCTTAAGGTGGTTATATAGTAAATTCTGGGTATAAAAAAAAGCTGAGAAAATGCTGCTTTTGTTTTTAATATTTTTGTTTTGCATTTTATGCTGAATCTCCATATAAAAGTGTCATTTGATTTTTATTTCACCATATTAAATTATCTTTAGGAGAACTTTGCCTTCAAGGCAAAGTTCTGCCAAAGATAATTTAAATTACTTACTCTTTTCACACACCGAAATTATTTTCAAGGCAGCTTTGAAACTGATTTTGATGTGTGAAAAGAGTAAGCAATAAAAAATATATACAATAAATAACACAATAAATGATTATACAATTATTTAAAAAAATCAACAGTATTCTTAGTAATAAATGACTATTAAAAAAAAGTAAAACTTTTTAATGAAAGTTCTTATAAAATATTTCATTATTTTGAATAGAAAAACAAGTATACTGAATGCTCACTGGCTATCACCGACGAATTGCCCCCCCCCCCCCTTCCTTCCGCCTTAAACTATGTAACGGAAGTAAAAATACATACCTCCACTGCACGATAAAATAGGGTGTCTGGTCATAAATATTTTTTAATGAAATTTGGCAAGCACATAGAAAATAGATTTATACAGTTGCCTGGAAAATTTAAAAAGTGTACCAACATACCTTCAATATTTATGCACCTCCGGAACAGAAATAAAATTTTAAAACTGAATATAAATCACTGATAATTGTAAAAAAAAACAACAGAATTTATAACAAGAAGTAACAGTAACAGTAGCAGAAACAGATTAATAAAGTGTAACAGTAACAGTTAAAAGGGTGGAAATTGAACTTCCACTGGATCGAAAACTACGTTATGTGGTCATGAATATTTTTAAATTATATTTTGCAGGCACATAGAAAATTGATTTATACAGTTGACTAGAAAATTTCAAAAATGTACCAACATGCCTTCCATATGAATGCACTTCCAGAAAAGGAACGAAATTTTAAATAGCAATAAAATAAGTGAAAAATTTATTAACCATAAAAAAAACACATAATTTATTCAACATTAAACATTTGACTTTTTTAATAAAGTCTGAGTTGATATAAATTTTTTTAAAAAAGACAAATAAATACATCCTTACCACACCGACTTCGAGCATGCTGTGAAAAAAAAGGTTCCAGTTTTTAACTTTGAAATCGGTGCCGTAAAAAGCCAGATACGCACGTACCTACTAATTATAAAACAAAAAAATTACCTGTAAATGCTGAATTAATTCTAAAGACTCTAACTGCAATATCACAGGAAAACATATTAGCGAACTTTTCCATTTTACATAGAAGTTATATTTTCTTAGGCTAAAAAATCCATAAATCTAAGTTCAGCAGTGTCTGGAAAGAAAACCATTGAGTACAACAACTTAACTTGTCAATAACTTTTCTTTACATTTCATCAAAGAGCAGGCAGTAACGGTTCAAAATTATTTTATAATATATGTACCTAAGTTGTGATAAACATTTTCAAAACATTCAAAACATTTGGCAAATCCGTTGCAAAAAACTATCCAAAAGGAAACAGAATTTTGTGTTTCCTTACCCAAAAGGAAACAGAATTTTATGTTTGTTTTTAGCATTTCGGCTTTCCGGCGTTTTAGATTTCGACTTTTTAGCAACTCTGGTAGGACAGTTTACTCCAACGTAGGGTAAACTGACCAAATTCGAGCCATTGACCAAATTCCAGCCACATTTTAAATTTATTATTTCTGTCTTGTTTTCTGCTTTATGTTTGTAAATGCTACTTTTTTGAGACTGGTATATATTCAGCCAATAAAAAAAAAAGCATTGTTATAGTTGGCGGCTGTTTATAATAGAAGTAACATCATAAAAAATATTTATCTCAAAAAAGTACTACTTTATATTTAAAATATCATGTAAGCATCCAGTTTGAAGCTTATAAATATTAAATATTTATTACTTAACGAAATGTTAATTATTTTAAATTATAAATATATTTCTTAAAAAGACAATTTTAGCTTTATAATTATGTTGAGTCATTACTATAGATTGTATTTCTTAATTAATTGCACCTGGTAGAAAGACCAAAATCCGGCCAGGTATAAACCTTATTCCGGCCAAGGCCGAAATTAGATTCACGAGTGTCTAAAAGTAACTCATACTTGTATGATATTTATATTATTAGATTTTATTCTTTTAATATAAGTACTTTATGTTGCATTTATGTCCTAACAGTTATCAATCTTAAATATTTGCATTTATTTAGTTAAATATTTATATAATATTTTTAAAATTTAAGGATGATGACTTAAAAATAAACAAAAGTCTAAATAATTGAAAGATATTATATTGTTTCATGTAAATTATTACTTATAAATGAAATTATATTAAAAAATAATCTTTAATTGAAAATTTTAATAATTTATAATATAAAGTTTTCATTTTAGAATGGCTGATAATAAAAATAAAATTTATAATTAAGAAACAATGTCATCCAACTCGAGGTAAGTATATGAAATATAAAGAAGAAGTGTTACTTGAAGCTATAAACAGTGTTATTAGTTCACCTAAAATGTCTGTTAGAGCTGCTGCTAAATTTTTTAAAGTACCCCGAGCAACTTTGCAGAGCAGGATAAATGTAAAAGTTGAGATTGGTGCAAAAGCAGGACGAAAAAGTATAATGCCTCTTGATCTTGAAAAAAGTTACTCGATTTTGCAGACAACAGAGCTAGGATGGGCATTGGTTTTGGAAAAGAACAATTCTTGGTATATGCTGGCAAGCTTGCCAAAAAATATGGATATTCTTTTAAAAATGGCAAACCATCTAACAAATGGTGGTGACTACTTAACAATCGACATAACAAAAAAGTAACTCTTCGACAACCAGAATCAACAGCATCAGTTCGTCATCAATGCATGAATCTGATAAAGGTGGCATTTTATTTTACTGCACTTAAAGAAGTCATTAAAGACTGTCAGCCTTAAGTAATATGGAACATGGATGAGACAGGACTGCAGCTAGACTTTAAGGCGCACAAAATAGTTGCTGCAAAAGGTAGATAATATTTACATATGAGAACAAGTGGAAATCGAGAAATGATTACTTTAATTGTTTGTGTGAATGCAGCAGGAAGAGCCTTACCACCTCATGTGATTCCAAAAGGAAAGACAGTAAAATCCCTTCAAAGTTTTCAAGTTCTAGATGCCCCTGAAGGAACCAACTGGAGTCCAAGTGAATCTGGATGGACTAAACAAGGGATTGCAAAACTATGGTTTGAGCTTACATTTTTAAAAAATATTGGACCACAACGTCCACAAGTTTTAATTTTAGATGGCCACGATTCCCATAATTTCGTAGAGTTAATAGATATGGCCATACAAAACCGAATTGAAATTGTTTAATTACCTGCTCATACAAGCAAATGGCTTCAACCTTGTGATCGAACTGTATTTAAGCCATTCAAAGTTTCATATAATAAAGCAGCCCAGGATATGATGTCTAATCACCCTGGGGTTATAATAAACAAGGCCAATTTTACAGGACTTTTAACCAAAGCCTGGAATAAAAGTATGACAAAAGCTAATATTGAATCTGGCTTTAAATCATGTGGAATCTTTCCATATAATCCTTCAATTATTCCAGCTGAAGCTTACTTGCCAAACTATGTGTATTCTGAAGACAGGTAATGACTAATCTCTTTGATCAAATTAAAACAGTTGATAATACAACAATAGTTAAGCAGATTAAGCAAACAACAGACAGCACAAAAGTACTTTTACCAGATATTGAGTTGGAACAACATCTAATTACTATCCCAAGATTTGCTGTAGCAAATGATCACGACTATTTAGCTGAACCAATAACCGTAGTAGAACATAGGAGTGATGATTTAGTGGAACTAAATATGAAAACTATAGAACTAAAAGCTGCAAGTAATAAAGCTACTAGTAAGTTTCAAGACAGCTTTAGGATTATGTCTTACTCTGAAATTGAACAGCCTATTGATCAGCATGAAGTTGATTTTACAGTTTCAACTCTTTTAGCTTCTGATTTTGCAAAAACTAGATCTTTTGCCCCAAATTTCTCCTTTAAAAATTCATCTTATCCAGGAGATGGAGATAATGACATTTTGCCATATTCTTATCCAAATTTTACAAAAAGCAAAAAGGCTAAGAATGCAGACAAGTTTTTTGTGCTTACTTCTAAGGAAGCATATGAGTCACAGTTAAAGCAGAAGCAAAAACAAGCTCAAAATGAAAAGGAAAAAGAAATGCGTAAATTGAAAAGACTACAAAACTTAAAAATAAAGGAAGCAACGGTATTGTCAAAAGATAATCCTAGAAAAAAACGTTGCTATAAAAATGAACCAATAAAAGTATAAAAAAGCAATGTGTAATTTGATCATGTTGTTATGAATTTTTGTTCTTAGTGTTTTAAAAAGTCTTTTATAGAGTTCACTGAATTCTTTTTTTTTTTAATGTGAACATTATATTCTATGCAAATCTTTTAAAATAGTTTCTAAATCATTTTTGAATAGTTTTAAAATCATGTCCTGAAAACTTATTTTTTTTAGATTTAGGCATCCTTACTAAGTTTATTTGTTGATGAATGCTTAGTATTAAGTTAAGCAATCATTTTCTAACTGATGTTTAAGATCACATCAAAAAAATTATTGGTTCAATATTTAGTAATTCAATTAATTTTAAAATATTTTAAATGCCAACCCATAAAAGTATTATAAAAAGCTTGTTATTTATATTGGCTGTAATTAGGTTCATTCCGCATACGCCTGGCTGAAATTTGTTAATAGTGGCTGTATTTTGGTC